TGAATACCTGCGTGCCACGTTATATTGATGAGTCGTATACATTTATGTATGCATTTGTGTGCATAGATAGGAAAGCTGGAGTAAATGTTTCTTTAACATTAATGCATTGAAAAAATTCAAAAAATCAGCAAAACGCTTCACAATTTGAAGCATGAACCGTAAAACGTGTTGATCCGGATCACTTGACAACCTCCTGAGCATCACTCCTGATACAGCGAATTGTAAATGAATGGGTCTGAGTCTCATGTTCTTCAACAGCTGCAATGAAGTCAATAACTACGAGAAGGAGACTTTGGTTTTAACAGACAGAAAGACTGAAGATGAAGTATCTGCGAAAATGAAGATGTTGAAAGACATGCATCTTCATTGATTGACTACCTTCACAAGCCTCTTCAGAGGAAGGCAGCTCGCATGTAACGTCTAGGCTGAAGAAGGATGTAGTGTTTATCGTTAACTACACGCTAATTAGTGATCCCTAAACCTAATGAGTTTTCGCGAGCTGTGATCATTTATATAACCAATGAGCTTAATGAAACGAAGCCAACAATTATCGATCGCTCTAAACTTCAGGAGGTATCGAACATTAATGACTCGAAAGCAGACGGTGCAACATAGGTTCAGTTCAAACGCATTTGCATGAAACACCATGATCACTAACGACTTCTTACTGTGAATTACAAGCAACAGGATATGCATACGTTCACGAAACTCACACTAGACTTCAGTGTTTATGAATGACAGCATGGTAATGAAAAAAAAGTGTCCGTAAATGTTTGGCAGACTTTCCTCAACCAATTTCTAAGGATATGCGAACGATAGTTTTCGTAGTGTGTTAGAAGTACAAGAAAAAATTGGACTCCAGGCTTCATTGTCCGGATTCACCAGTGTGTCTCCAATGGAAACATTAGACTAGTTATCTTACTAACTGACCGATAAAGACGCATCGATTGATATTACTCAGTGTTATCAAAGTGGCTTCTTCTGTGGTGCGTAATCAACCTACACATTTCCTTCGACAAAATTTGTTGAGGTCATTGACTCTTAATGGTTAGATTCCTTCATCACCAAATTCTACGCTACAGGAGATTTTCCTAGTGAAAGTAGAGGATGGCTCACTCGCCATCTCTCTACTTAATCGTTGTCTCTGAAACATAGGGAAAATGCCTCACGTTCCACATGTTGAAAAAATTCTCTCTACGCATTAATATACCAGTTATTCATCGGCAAATATGTTGGAGACACATTTTCACCAGTGTATACGGAACAGAGTTATTCAATCTAGAGATCAAGCGACCGTTTTCATGCATGGTATATAAATAAAATTATATATTCGTATTTCGCTGTGGTATTACTTTGGCATATCGAGTTGCCTCAACCAGTTTTACAAATTAAAATTATGCTTGAAGTAACACTGAGCTGGATCCCTTCGAACTGATAATGCCAGTGAATGGAAGTCTGAGACACAAACTAGAACGGAAAAGCTGAGTGCTTCCACTTGGTTTGACTTCAGATTGCGTCACAACTCACTGTGAATACCAGCTACCTGATGAGTAACATACCAAATGAATTTACCTATTTCGATTCACTTGATCGATCAAAACTAAATCTATAAACGTTTCAGATATCGACACTTATTTTCTGCATCGCCTCATCTAGTGAACACAAACTAAACTGTCACTAGTCTACGTGGTCATAAAGAGATTACTGTGCTAACGATCACATGTCTACAACTCTATGATCGATGTATAACATGAACGCTACGAACCGCCATAGTAATTATAGTTGTACTACAGAAATGGATTTCTCACAATTTCAGCAAGAGAAAGTCAATACACTGAGGTCATTAAAGCGAACAACTCAGTTTATAGAAGAATTACTAAAATGCATTTCAAAGAATGACAAGGAAGAGTAATTAAGATTTCATTGAGCAGATACTGATAAGTATGTTATCTTGATGATCTTGTAAAATCTCTTTCACTCACCACCTAACGTTTGAATTGTCCATGAACACGGTCTGACTGTCTGAAATTCACTATCAACTGATAATACGTGGTCGCAATCCCATAATGCCTCTACATCTTCTAGTCTGAAAGGAGATGGAGAACCTACACAATTCTATCTGGAATGTTCCGTCTCCTTCGTTCTGGGCATCGCCACCCACAATTTTATCTTGATGATCTTGTAAATTCTCTTTCACTCATCACTCGACTTCGCCTTCTTGATGACACTGGACACTTCGCAATGTGAATGGTGCCATTTTGTAACCACTCAGTGAGCTTTCATGCCTCAGAATACCACCATAACCCTAGAGATCTTCACCTCCAATGGACAGATGATCACATTCTTTGAACAACACTGTAATATTCTCACCTCTCGATTCCTTAACCCCTTGAATTCAGCTTTCCTAATATAGGCTGATTAGTCCGTACTTCGTAATCACTGCCCTCTCCTTCGTGCAAATTGTCGCATCGACCTCTCGCAGAAAATCAGCGCAAAATATAGTTTGCCATAACTCGAACGCAACAGTGATCGGAAGCGTTACGATACGGTCGACAACAAAAACGCTGCAGTTTGACATGCCAGCGATAATTAACATATGTCCAGCTACCGTTTGAACCATCAATGAACACGTCTGATTGTCTGAAATTCACTGTCAGCTGAGAATACATGGTCGCAGTCTCATAATGCCTCTACAGCTTCTGATCTGAAAGGAGATAGAGAAGCCACACTATACTATCTGGAATGTTCCGTCACCTTCGTCCTGGGCATCGCCAACCACAATGTCCAGCTTTATCGCATTGAAAGCATAAGTCACACCTTCGATGAACTGGGACGTCGATAGCTGCGACTTCAACACTTCATGCAATGTGGGGAGTGCGTGACCTAGTGGATTTGTCTGCTTCACCGCCAACACAAACCAGTCTCCATTCGATGTCAGCTTCACGTGTTGGAATTGCTTCATCGAAAGCTGCCATTCCGTAAGGCTGTTGAACTGTGCTACCAGCTGTTCAACCAACGCCTACCAGGTCTCCTTCTCATCTAACCACAACACACTGTTGTAATCTGTATTCGTTCGACCTCTCAGCACGAGTCTCATCACAACCACTTTCGCCATCGGATACTCGACACCTACCGATTCAGCGATAGCCTCAAAATTACGCGAGAATCTCCGTGTGTCTCTTTCCGCAAAAGAAGCCGACCACTGTATCTTTGTCGTCTGGAGACAGCGACACCGATTGTAATGGTAAGAGATGAGAGACTAAGTAAGGAATGTTTATTTTGAATTCGGCGTCGCTTTATCACGAAATGATGTACAACTCATCTTCAGATCAACACTTGCTCAGTTCTTCAGTGTTGGGCTACTTCTGCCTTTAATTTTATATTGTGTTTCTTTGTGTTACTTTCACGTCTCCCATGTCACTTCGGAACTCTGAATCATTCGCTCTCTCCCTCGCTTTGACGTCAAATCTATCCTCCTGCTACCTGATGTTTTCATACACGACAATGTCTCGTCATATACTACCGATAACTGTTTTCAGTAGTACGCGCCACACCGCATGTAGTTGAAAGGAAGCTGGCTACCTAGATAAGTGAATGAAGTGACCTCTTATTGATTGCTATCATCGTCATAATTATCAAAGATCAAATGAGATGAGATAGAGCTTCTTCCGTCTTTCGTTTGGCCTGTTTTGTGCAACGGAAGAAGATGCTGCGAGGTGAGTCTGTTATGCTGCCTCTATTTGTTCGTCGTGTACGAAGCTTTCTCTACAGGAACAGCTACACTTACAAATGCACAGAGACAATAAGCATGTGTCTTCTCAAATATTAACTCATTCAGACTATCGCGTTATGTGTGTATCTCATTGTATTTTCTAAGGGATTAACTCTACACAACCCTTTCCATTTATTTCCGGAGCATCAGATCAATTTGATTTTGTATCGGATGACTACGAGACTGAAGTAATGTGAATATTGCCCTACGAAGCTAGTTCTTTCATAGAGAAGGCCATTTTCTTTGCTTATGTCCTGTTTTAATTTTATCAATGACAGTTTTCAGTGACTTCACTTAGTGCACCACATACATACTCAACTGGATTAATTCACGAACGAGCGATATATTAGAGTTTGATAGTGGTGATTGTAACGCGATGATTGTTCGTGAAACCCCTCTCCTAACCGAACTTGTTATAATATTGCTATATACTGAGACATTCCTTCTAACTTCGTAATTATTAGCCGTTTCTCTCTCAGACTATAAATCACTGTCTCGACATCCGCGTGTCATCTGTTGACATAATTCCCAGTAGTTGTCTTTCTTACTGTTCGATCAGTAATTTCAGTGCTTCTCTTTGTCCTTGTGTGATAACATTGACAATTTCTCTTTCTTCTAGTGATTTTGCGTTTGAATGAGATCAAGTTTCGCCCTGTGAATTTTGAGTGTGTCTGAAAGTGTCTGCTGGGAGTGTTTGGTGCATGGCTGTTGCTGACCAACTTTCGATCTTGCATTGCTGGCAATATTCTTCCGGATTCTCAGGTGCTTCTTACGGTTGTACAGTGCTCGGTTTGCAACTGATAACGAATGAGATGTGCATCACTGCCTAGCAGGATTGTTGAGGTATTTCCGCTTTTTGATATTTTATCACTGTTCAGTTGTACCTGAGATTTCATCACAATTAACTATGTTTATACGAGTGTCGGGACAGTTCTCTACTGTGTCTGGCTGAACGAAGTTTAAGTCAGTTAGACGGTGGAAGGCAAAGGTCGGTCTCCTGAGTTTAGACAGTAACACGTCGGTTTCAATCGATACAGCGTGTGCTTGTTTGTGTCCAAATGTTAAACCTGAAGCACAGACGTGGATCATATGAAAGACACAACGACTGGTTGTTGGTAGAACTGATTTTGAAAAAGAGAAAATGTTTATCAATATGAATTAGTATTACACCACCACCATCAAAGAATGAAAATTTGTCAGTTGATGAACAGTCCATGTTCACTGTGTTTCATGTAAATTTCCTACCTGTGAAAAAAGATGGAATGATATTTATACACAGTTGTGGATTGACACAATTTGAAAGAGTCAATTTGCACGCATTCGACTTGTTTCAAGTTAGACTACGGATTGATATCAATTACAGAACCACTGGAAACCAGGTGAGAATACTGGACAGCCAGGTGTTTTGTTCTGATTTTGAACTCATCAGCAGCACACACACTACTGTGTTGCAATCACTTGATACCCTTGGTAAACAAGGGAAGCTGACTGAACATTCAGACACCAGACCCAACTGAATATTCAGTCTGTGATTTCTCACTTCTACCAATTCGTGATTTTTCTCACGACAACCAGCCAGTCTCATCGGTGAGTATCTCTTCTCACTTCCAACCGGGTGCACCTCATTGGTCATAACTTCTCATCACAATTCCAGACAACGTCGTCCTGCAGCCAGTCACCATCAAGCATCAGAATAAGTTTCAAGAATTGGCCATTTGATTTATTTCAACTGGAGGCAGCACAAAACATCCTGAAGTGTTGGATGTCAGAATTCATGAGGCGTGATAGTCCACGAGCTTGACTTGTAACCAGAAAGTATATAGTTGGGACCGCAACTGGTATGTCCTGCAAATGATTACTCACACTACCGTGAAACAACCAACTGTTCAGTATTCCCAGCTGGTTTTCAGTGTTTCTCTAACTGGTTTCAATCTGTGGCCGAACTTGATTCAATTTTATAAATTTAAGAAACTATTAATCCATCGTTGACACCAGTGACTTACTTACTCTGGAATGGCATTGCCTAGATTTCTAGTGGGTGAGGAGTTTTGTCCAATGTGGTTCATCAAGTCAGATATGGGGAAAGATGGTCACAGCTTGCGTTGGCTGGTGTTGTCGCTATGCATCGCGAATTTTCGATGCATGTAATTGTCTGTTTCCCTTCAAGACAAAATCGTCTTACGATAATGTTCAATATGAAATGAACTTATTTGAAGACATTTTTAATGAAGTTTTGTATTTTTGACACAGGTTATTATTTTGTTGAATAGTGTCACGGATTTTATCAGGCGGAGATGTCTTTCGGCATTGTTGGAAGATAATTTTCGCATGTGTGTTGCTTGCAGCAGTTTGACAGGCTCTGCAACAGAACTGCCAGTGAATACTGATTGTTTAACAAAATCAATGGACTTGAAGACCAGAAAATTATACGAAGGTGTTGGAAATCCGATGTAGCACTCGAGAAGCACTGGCGACGGACATAGGTGCCCTAGTTGAAGTGCTTACGCCACTACCGTGAATGTGGAAAGCCATGCGTAGATGAAATGACAACTCTACTCATTGTCACCGAACACAGCATAGAACGGCGAGCTTGTAAGAAGAAGACCATCAAGTTCATCGACTACGAAGTAATTTGAAAGTTGGCTGAGCACCTCAAAGTGTGATGCCGCAGACATACTTAAACTTCATTCACGAATCCAGCTATACGTCATCAGCCCTATTCCAGGTAATTCTCATTTCAATGCCCATCCAAGCGTTGAAGTGTTGATAGTAGTAAGACAAGGCTAAAAGCTATCACAGATTATCTTCTTGGTTGGGATGATTGGACTGTGCAACAGACAGTGAGTAATCATAAGACCATCAAACATCGAAGTGATGGAAGATTTGAGCTCTTTATTATAGCTTGATTCCACACAGTATTTTAGTACAAGTATAAAAGTTTCAGCATATGAAATCGGTAGCCCAAATTTAGCATGCAGACCGTTGATATCAGGTGCGCGTTGGTCGCGGATTGAACATCGGACCATGTTGCAAGAATGGCGAGCATCCTAACCACTGTGCCGCCGACGCACAAAGAAGATGTATGCCTCATTTTCAGACAAACTCAGATATGTATATATACCAAAGCGGCAGACTGAGAGGAGCATCAGTAACAGGAGATCAGGCCGAATAAAAGGAGATAGAAAGGTTCACGATAGCCGGTTAACGACAACAGTTGACGACTGTTATCAGAGAGAGTAATCCAAGAGAAATAGTTTCTTTCACTAGGTGGGGCGGGATTGTTTCCACTATAGTATGGATGCATAACGATTTCAAAACCCGAATCGGAGAGGCGCGATAGAATTCCATTCCTCAAAGTTTAGTTTGTAAATCTACTGTACTACTCAACGTAAACATCAATGCTAATTCACTTCCTCTGCATGCCTCAGGAATTTGGAGTGCAACCAAAAGCATTTCCAACAGGCTACTGCAGAATTTTATCAACAGCTGCCTTTGTTAGCACCATATTGAAGACCAGATGGCCGGCTGAAAAGAATCAGCAATGAGGAGCTCTGTCATCGTACTAACAGGCGGGTAACGTTCGCTCAACAAATATTTCGAGGAGAATTGGGATAGATTAAATGTACTTCAAGAAGTCGACTGACTGACTAGTATCACACACGCTAAGCTCTCTAGTGGACTCTGAATAAGAAGAGACGTGGTGAGCTGGCTTCCTAGATTGACGCCGAGAAGATTAGATGGAGACGGAATGAAAGCTTGTGGTGGTCAGTGTCGTTTTCGGGAGTAGTCGAGATTGGTTGCAGAGGGAGAGAGCCGAGAACAATAATGAAGTACACATCTCATGCTGTATATTCGCCTCAGAACTGAAGGAGTACACGAGTGAGTAATAATGACAGTAGTAGAAATAGTAATAATGGTAATAATAGTAATGATAGAAATAGTAATTACAAGACAGCTAAATACGAACAAAATGAATAGTATGTAATTTGCCTCGAAATCACTTACCAAATTCATGAGAAGCCTCTCGAAACATTTCACTGACAGCTGTATTCATGATACTCGATGGTGACTCGTCTGAACATAAATGTATTCATTACTGTATCAGTGAAATTTGAACTTACTGGGATACCTGTCAATTCTGAACTTCTCAAACTTTTGTACTGCAGAAATCATTTGAACTAAACATGTGAAATAATGTCAGGGGGAAATATTAATTGAGCAGATATCTTCGTAGAATCAGGTGAATATTTAAATAGCGTATTGCCTATTTCTCCTCCTTCTCGTTTCAGTGTTTGTGTTTGGATGATATGAGTCATGAGACGAATAAATGTCATTCTCCGGTTGGAGGCGATTGGCATGCAGAAAGCTCTGCCTGACACACTGGTGTCCTGCTTATTTTGGAGTCAGGTATTCATCACTCAGCAATGACCTACCTGCAATCTTGAAGGAACAACTCGTTTCATCTCTGAGATTCGAACTACCGGTCACCCAACGCTACCTGCAGTCAAAGAGGCTACCACTGAGCTTGACTGACTCGTGATCCAGCTCCTTTGATGGAGCGATGGATCCTCTAGTTGAGCACTAGGAAGAAATGATTGTACTACGTCTGGTCTATGTTGCTTGTACAGAGTGAATTTTATTAATCAAGTCTGCAATGTGACCACCATGTCAGGTGGCTCAAGTTGATGTGAGAGATAGAGATGGATAGAGTGAGAGAGATGCAGATTTAAATACTTTTCTGACATCTCAATGATACGATGAAACCAAACTGAAAATGTACTCAACATATGTTGGTGAGACGTATATTACATGTGTGAGAGTGAAAATCAAGCAGAGAATCGACTCAAGCTATTCAATTTAGTTTACACAATTGTCACAGACACAGACACAAACCGACGAAATGCAACAAGCTGGTAGAAGAGGCAATGTGGCGAAGACAAGTTTTCAAATGAACATAGAGAGAAAAGCGGTGAAGAAGATAACCAACCAAACACCACCACCAGCAACAAGACAAACAGGAAACACCAATCACTGTCAGTTGGGGAAATTTGAAGGAATTTGCTTCTTTCATTGATCTCGACAGTCAGCATCGTTTCAGCTACACTCTGTTGACACGGATGGAAATGTCAAAGCCGGTCAGGTTCGGAGTCGAGAGGCAGTCCTGCATTACTCTGAAATCACTTTGGAAATCTCCTACACTAACTACAAAGAAGAAGATTCGATATTTCAGTGCTACTGTCAAGTCGTTCAGTTCTTCTTCAGAGTTGAAAGACTTGAATTGTTATCAAAAGAATTTCCAACAGGCTACTTCAGACTTTAACCAACAAACAGACTGCTACCTTTGTTCACTCCATACTGAAGACCAGATAGTCTAATTGGCTGAGCGACAGGAAACTCTAGCGCCGATCCAATGAAGAACCTGTTGCTGGACAAATAGACAGGGTAAAATGGAAATAAATCGAATACACTCTGAGGAGACAGCTGATTTGAATCATGAGCCATCCTAGTCGTCGAACGGAACTCGAATGTGAAGCGATGAGTTGAGCGTCTGAAGGTGACACCAGGCAGATCGTGTCAGGAATAAATGAGGGCTTATGTGCAATCGCTGAGCCAAATAAAAACAACTTTAGGTGACATAATCAAATGGAGATGTCTAAGACCTAAGTGTCACCAAAACGTTTACATGGCTATATGTCATCATGTGGGTTTTATCATAAGTCGATTTAGACGGGCCAGTATTTACCATTTAACAGCTTCTGTCCTATTTCACTACAAAAGAACTCTGATTAATGCCTGATGAATCCTGAAAATGGATTCATTCATTTACCTGTACTTGCAGTAGTATTTACATGAGAAGAACTGAGAAGGTACACACAAACAGGATTTCTGAACATGTAAAAAATGATTTTCATTAGGTGAATGAACACGTAGTAGTGGCCTACCAAATGTTAAACAGATGGTAACAATGAATTACTACGATGTACAGAAGCAGCAGCAATCCAACAATTGAGGCTTAATTTATGTGTACAGCAGGATTCAGTGATCCACCTTGGATTGTCTCGGTAATTCATTGTTTCTTCACTTACTATTTCATCGCTTGTGCCATTCGCTTGCCTTGCTTAAACATTTTTCACCTTCCTAACACTTTTCATCACTCATTATGCTTATTATATGCCTGACATAAATAAACCACATAAATAGGGATTTTTACTGTGATCCACTTTAGAATAGACAAATGGATTAGCATCGAATACTTACCTTGCCGGGATTCGATTTGTTCCAGGTTTGGACCACGGATTGATATCAGTAAGAGAATCATTGAGAGGTAGCTGGGAGTACTGGTCAGCTGGCTGTCCATTCCTAGATAGAGAATCATCGACATTACCTACACATTAACCTACCTGTCCGCGGTCGGAACAAGGACCTTCAGGTTGTGACGCTCGCCAGTGATTGCCTACAAGACGAAGTTGACTGGAGTTCTAGTGACAAGTCACGAACAGTAGGATTCACCAGATGGAATGTGAGCACAAATAATCGCCGACGGCAGTGGCTGGCTGATGTGATAAAAGCACGAAGCACTTCTTGCTGAAATTCAAGAGTCGCTGGAATATAGCCTCTATTGGTTAAATGTCTAACAAGCTTGTTCTCATCACCTGCAGGTCCTTGGTTCAATCGCCGGTGGTGTTGTCTGAGCATACTGATGAACAACTCAGAAATAGGAAGGAACAGCTGTTCAGTACCCCATGATAGTCTCCAGTGGTTCTATTACTGATATCAAACTACGATCAAACTTGGAGGAAATCAAGTCCTTACACAATAACTCTGGAATATTCTGTGATAATCTAATCCTCGCGAAATTTCCTTCCAAGTGTGATGCAACAGCTTTTCAACAAGTGTTATATGGATGAAGTTCCGCGTGTCCTGCATATATACTCAGAGTGTTGTGAGTATTTAAATCTGCTCCAGAGAAGAGGGTTGGGGGGATTGTAAGCACACAATTTTTCGCTTACCAACAGCATCTTTAAATTCAGACATTGGTACATTTGTCAAATCTGATTTCGTCAGGAATTCATCGATAGCTGTGAAGAAAATATGAGGATATTGATATGAGTAGTTAGAAGGCACGCAGAGTTACAGGAGATGAATGAATTCAAATGCTATGAGTGACAAGTATTTATTTGTTTTGCATGCCTTGAATTCTGAGTGGAGCATATGGCCCCAGGGAACTTGAAATCATGATGTTTCAGAGGCTGAGTTGTAAGTTTAAAGTCAACCGTTGAGAGTCGGTCTTAGGACCACGCGATTGGTTAGCGAGAATTCTACCGCTGAACCTCTCACGCACGTGGATACACAGGACATTTGTTCCATATTCACCTCGGAGGTAGGTGAAATTGGGTGAATTAACAGATGTGGGATTAGTTTACATCACTGCTTGTCATTAGTTAGAGAACTGGTGAAATCGCGTAGATGGTGAACAGCTGCTTTGAGCAAGAGGGATATGAGTTACATAGTGTCAGAGAATCGGAAAATGGGGTGATTTCCAGCTCTCCAGTAATGTTGTTAGAGCCAGTTGGTCAGTCATTGTTGAGGAGTGCAAAATATATTTATCAGTGATTACTCGAAAGACTTGAACCTCACGTAGGATTTACGTGAAATGTTGCAAAACTCGAAGATATATAGGTGAAAACCAAGTGTTTGGCAGAAGTGGCAGATAGAGTTGGCAGTACTACCAACAACAACGTTGGTGTCGTTTGAGCAGTGCACATACTCCCATGCTAGATACGACAGTCAATCTCATTGTAGGTGTCGGTGATATCTGATGATGTTGCTGCTCAGTAGACACAGTCATTAGTCAATTAGAAAAAAGCCAGAAAACTAGGACTCACCGTTTTGATCCAGTTGCATTCCTGACATTCGCAAACATTTCTGCTCAACATTCTCTGAACAAATGGAAAAGAAATGAAATGAATCAAACTGCAAGATAATCCGACCAAACAGTCAACATGAAATGGGTGTTCTCCATGTCCACATAGCATTGCCCATTCTGAACGCATGCATGCACACAAGAGAGGGATAGCAGTTGCAAATGGGGCTGATTATTCATCGTGTCCGGGGAAATACTCACTCAGTTGTTGTACTCAATGTGGGAGTAGAAATAGGGCATTATGATAGGATAATATATCCACGCTGGATGAGTGTTTTCTCATGTATTTGCATTCAGTGAGCTTGATGGTTAATTTGAGAAGCTCTCATCGCCTTACTAAGCAACATCGTCAGCCACTCGACAGTCCTCTCAACCACTCACGATGAACTAGCCCAAATCTTTGCTTCTACATGATTCGAGAAAGCAAAGTGGGATTCGTGTTTGAAATGCAACATTTGTTCAAACATTTGTTTACCTCTTGATTGCATGAATTCCATTTCCATAGTTTCTTCCAAGTCTTCTTCTTCAATTAGTATACCTAATGAAGAGCAGATGTCAATTCTAATGAGAGTAACATTTCAGAAATGTTAGGTGAAATTTGAAATTAATTGTTTGTGGGTTTGAGTGAGCGTGTAAAATTGAGTGTTTGTAAGCATTAGGTGTTAATATTGTATGTGTGTGTATGTAGATTAGACAAACACTTACATATGTGTCATTTACTCTGTAGGAACTCAGTACACGTTTGCAATGAAATAAGCGAAATATGTCATCGTTTAACTTCCAGTGAATGCATTGTGATTGATGACTTATTCTCTTAAGACCGTCTCCCTCACTCAGGTCAGTCATTCTCCATTGAACTGAATGCGTGTGATTCGACTTCCTGACTGACTGACTGAGACCAATTGCACTGGCCGCACCAATATAGCTGACATTGAAGTCAATATAAGGTGCTTTGTGCACATGGAATTACTCGCCTCTAATTGAGTGAACAGCCTCTTTCAGCGTGCAGAGCTTGTCTTTCAGTGACTTTGTAGATTTCAGTGGCAGCCACATTCTCATACCGCCTTTTGTCGGAAACCTACATAGAATTTCAAATGTTTCTTCCTTCCTTGGTAAAACTGTATACGGCTTAAATCGTTTCTTATTTATGTTAGGACTGATATTTTGAGCTTTACACATTTTCCTAATGAATTTAAATGGAGATATACTTATCAATGATGTTTCTGCTCTGTTTCTTTTGATTTCATGACTTCAGTTATTCGACGTATTAGTTGCGTCTTCTCATCGTTTCGAAGAAAATTATTCATGTCTGACATTAAATCAAAAGTTGTGTGTCTTCAAAAGCATTTCAAACAGAAAATGTGTAAGAGAAAGTGGAGGTGGATCGGACAAAAGCTGATTAGACTGTCGTTTGACATGGCACATCACACCATCGTGGGTCCCTCCGAATCAAGTAAAAATACTACCAATAATAGTAGCACAGTTCTATGTAGTCCTGAGGGATTCGCTGTGTCTTCAAAATAATTTCAAACACGCTGTGAAGAATGTTATGAACAGCTGCGTTTGCTGACCCTATGACCAGACTGCAATGATAAGCACGAAGAAACTCTCGCAACGAACCAATCAAGAACTCATTACTCAGCAAATATGTAGAAGAAAGTGTAGATGGATCGGACACAGGCTGATTAGACTGTTGGGTGACATGATACAACAGATCCTCTCTTTAGTGAAACTCGAATAACTCGTCGGTTCCACCGAGTCAAGTAAAAATACTACCAATAATAATAGCATTGTTCAGGACAGTGTTTAGAAAGCGTACGGAACTCTCAGCAGAGTTTATTGCATAATATATACTCTTCTTCCGGTGTCCTACATCATATGCGCAATTTCCTTGCATACATTTCAATAGTTACACATTTCTCACACTGTAGATGAATACATTATTGCTTCATATAAATCTTTCATGCAGGTGGTTATTCAAAACTGAAATCATTCAGTCATCCATCTAACTTCGACATCTTCTTTGAAGTCTACTAATAAAGCTGAATAAATTCGGATTTGTTTACACTCAGTACAGTACATATCTGACAAACAACTTTCTTCTATGTCCTCGAAAACATCAGACATATTCGTTGCTAGAAGACTAAAGTCAAATCTGATCAGTATCGAAGCGTCTTTGTGATGATGTTCACTCCCCTTCCACACAAGCACTACTGCCTGTTGGTCATCACTGCAGGTAACTGAACGACAGTCATTCATTCGGATAACGATACATATCACCCTAAACAAGGATTCACTGTAATCTCACTTGAAAAACAGCCATCAACACATGGTAGGAAGAGAAAATAAAACACCTCATACTCAAGATCACAAATTACTATTCTAATATTGATAGGAGTTGGAATCCACGGATCAATGGGTCAGTTCTCAGTAGCGGAAAGGTCTACAATTACGTCTTGTAACCGAAAGCTCTTTGCAACGAAACTTGATAGGTGCGTAATACTCAAGAGTACTGGAATGGGAGGCAACGTTTGTCCAGTACACCCTGCTTACTCCGAATGATTACCTGAATGGTGTAGGCTGAAATCATACCTCTAAATAATCGCAAGAAATTCAATGTGATCAAACAAATACACATGCACTTCCCTTATTTCTGTTAACTCACTTTCATCAATGGTTTTCGGATTCTTCAGCTTGTTTGCAGTTGCAAAGTTCACAGCTGTCAATAAAAAACATCAATAATGTATCTCACAGTTCAAAAAACACACAATGAAAATGAGTAGACTTAGAATATGTTTCGTGAAATTTATTTCATAGGAGAGTAAACGATCAAAACTGATAATTGTGAGTCGACAGTCGCTATTGTTGAGTGTTTCCAGGTCAGTGAGATTTCTGGCGCGTCGGTGGCATAGCGGTTAGCACGCTCGCCGACCATGTACATGGTCCGGGGTTCAATCCCCGGCCGACGCACTCCTTTCCCTCGCTAAGCCAGTAATAAAGCTGGTAAAGAGAGAAGGTTAGGCATGAGGCTAGCAACCCCATCCTGTAAAAATAAATTCTGCTACTGAAACTTCAAGCCTTCTACCTTAAAGCCCTATGTTCCACTTGGAACGTGAAGGAAAAGAAAAGAAAGAGATTTCTGGCATTAAAAAGAAGAATGGTCAAAATTTTAGAAGTATTTCGTGCAGTTTTATGTCATGAGTAGGTTTGAGCAATTAGGCTTAAATTGGATTGGTGTTCCAGTGTAGAGTTAAACCTCATTCATATCAAGCAACAAATTGACTGTATTTCCCACTGATTGAAAACTCCATTTTACATACCTGCTCATGCTGTCACTACTACAAATACTACTACTGTTATCACTGTCCTGTGAACAGTAGGGCCTATCAACCATTCAGCTGAAAAAATGTTCACTTGCAGACATCCGACATACAAAATGCATTTCCTTCTCAAATAAATGCTTGGCTAATTATTCTTCTCCACAGGTGCCTTCAGTATATAAGTACTGCTCCTACTACTATGTCCTGGGATCAGGAACTCTAAAGTTAGCGAAGAGATCTCTCATGTTCCTAACTTCCATTCAAACATGTCAACATTCCGGTTGACACTCCAGTGAAAGGCTGCCGTGTCATTTCATTCGACGGTCTCTTCACCGTGTGTCCCACTCATCTCATTTACTCCAGAATATTCAATGAACAATAGGCTATTGATGAGTTTGTTTTCAGAGTTGCTTGCCGCTAATTCAGTGGTTGAATGCTGGAATCCACGCCAAATGTGTATGTGGTCCCTGTTTCAACTTCCGGTCGATGTACAACTTTGCCTCACTCAGCTGATTTTCAGCCAGCAAAAATTGGAAGTATCACTGTCAGGCCAGATATCTCACTATGTAGACAACACAACAGTCATTTAAAGTTAAAAGATTGCGTTTGACAACGTATCTTCCACTCGAAGCACAAACGAACGAAAAAATAAACAACAACAAAAATTCTTTCTATCCAACTCACCTTCTGTAAGGAGCGAAACAATCGCATTCTGATCAAAGTCTGCGGCAGTCTGTTGGGAATGCTGTCATGAAACGCATGTCAAATCGCCGAACTATTTAGAAGAACTGAGTCAATATTGCTGTTGAAATCAAAATTTTGTTCATTATGATGAGTGAAGTAGATTTCCAAACTGACTTCAGAATCATGAAGGTCTGTTTCGCCCCTCTGATACTCACAGTCTTTTACATCGTCATCCATGAGGCTGCTTGTAGTTGAAAACGCATTTTCTGGCTGACTGAGTGAAGGCAGTGATCTCTTTCAAATTCCTCCCACTGATACTGACTGGTGTTGTTTTTTGTTGATTAATTGGTTGGTTAGTAGCTTATCTTCATGATATCCATCTTCTCTGCGTTCATTCGAGATCCTGTCTCCACTTCCTACCACTTCTGACAAGTCGTTGATCATCGCTTGTTGTTCTTCAAATTTTTGTGACATTAATCGCTAATCTTCCACGAATTCCAGATGTTGCAGAGTCTTCTCATCGATCCAATATATTGATGTCTTCGCACATTCCTCAGTGTTCCGAGTGATCCAGTTCAACACAGTCAGAAATATCGTCGGCCGCATTATTTAGTGTTGTCTTGCTCCTATTCTCACTTGAAAGACTTCACTGAATTGTTTCTGTTGTCGATCCGCTGAAATGTGTTACTGTGTTACATCTTTTCAAATAGGCTGATAGACGTTATCGCCAATGAACTGCATTGAGTGGTAGTACTTTCCAGACTCTATGTAGTCAGTCAATTTCTCTGGCGTGTTTTCAATTCTCAGTTCTCTTGTTTCCCACTCAACCATTTCCAAGTGTCTGCTCATCGTTTAACATATTACTTGACAACCACCGCAATCACGTAACCCTTTTGAGTGCTGCTTCATACATTGTTATTTCTCATACACTCTGATTGATTTTCCTACCAAGTGATTTGTGTTGTTATTTACCACTGCATACACCAACCCTCAATAAACCAGTGAACTGTGAAAAGAAGTTACAAGAGGAGATCTCTTTGTCGACCTGTGTATTCTTAATGACTGTCGCACTTATTGTCAGTATCATGAATAAGCACAGACCGAAACATGGGAACAGAATCTCTGACAATTCTGTTATCATTTACATTGGATATCTTTGAAACAACGACAACAAGAAGAGCAATGCTATGTCGACTAACCTGCTGTTGTATACAGATCCTTTCTAGCCGTACATGCATTGTCAAGAGATTTCGTGAAGTTATTAAAGACTGCAAAGCATTAGTAGAATACAGTGTGAGACTCAGCATTTCCTACAGAAACACGAATTCTTATTTACGCGTAATCGAATGTCTACTTTGTGTCGATTTCACTTTTCCTGTAGATTGATTGGGCAGAAAGGTTCGACCTTTGTCTCTATGTCGACTCTTGATAGAGACGCTCTGAAGAAAATTATGGATTAAGTTAACGTGATTCGGTGGGTGGTGAATAGCGATGGAATCCATGATGCATATCTCGTCTTATTCAGAACTCGTCATTTAGGCGTGCCTACACTCTCAAATGGTTGAATATTTCAGTCCAATCAGTCAACCGGAAAATCGAAATTCACTCAAAACAAGACATAGCTGATGCCCATTGCACAAGAAGTGGCTGTGTCTCGTGGCCCAAGTGGTACAGTGAATGGCACTCTGGCGTTTGAATTGATCGGTACTGGTTTCGAGTCTCAGCAGAAACACCAGCACCAACTGGAGAATGCATGCGATTCTTAAATGAAGGATCTCAAATTGCATGAAATGTGCATCTTGGTTTCTACTGCTAGTCACCATTCAACAAATCACTTCACATCTCACTTATTCAGAGGCGCGATATGAACAGACGATGTGCAACAGTGTGTTTTTAAATAACACTTACTGTGATAATTAGGCTGAGCATTATTGAGGATGTTGTGAATGATGTGAGACAGGTCATGCCCTAGGTGTAATGGATGAGTGGATTAATTTAGAGTTCATAGGTGATGACTGAGAATTTGATTTCTCTAAACGTCTTTATAAAGGAGTTGAGTACACTATGTTGATTTGTATTGAAATCTACTTTGAGTAAATTCACTGAAGTAGTTGGATGCATTGATGATTCGACATAGGCATATGAATCGTGTTCAGCATTTATCCAGTTACATCGTCTGCAGCACTAGTTGTTTATCCAGATACCTGTTGAATAGCATGTGTGGAAGTCACCAGTCCACATAGACTTATTTTTATAATGTGTATGGAATGCCAGGAAGCTGAATATCTTCAGAGTCAGGATCTCCATGATACTATCCAGATACCATGATTGTGTTGAACAGTAGCAAGGTGGACAGGGACATCAAAAATCGGTTTATCTACCACTATACTGTATACATATAATGGAAAATGCTTCCTCACAGAGGTCAGAAGCTACCTATAGTCAGGTCAATTTTCGATTTTTTGTTCCCCAATTTGGAACCAATTTCTTTTGAAGCATTATGATCTGGAAATAACAAACACACAAAAATTAGAACGGGAAGTACGGGATGAGGTATGCCTTTGCAAAAATTCTCTATCTATCTATCTATCTATCTATCTATCTATCTATGTATTTGTCATCGATTTATCTACCTTAATATCTATCTAAGTATTTATAGATACATACATTCATTCGCATATTCCTACATATGTATAGACTTATCGGATATATCAGTAAACTCACGTTGGTATTTTTGAACAGATTTGGAGAAACCTGAGCAGCAGATAAATGCAGACACATTATTTACTCACTTAGCTCATTTAACACGTTCACCTCCTAATGTATGTATGAATTTTGCAGTGCATCAATTTGAAGTGGAGACACAGGTTGTGAATGTATTAGAGGTGTGAACATTTCTGAATAGGCCATAGAGAAGTGACAATGGAATTTATTCTTTAGGCAGTTCCATTGGAAAAGATGAGACTTCTGTGTACAGAGAATAATTTTCAAAGCTTAGTTTTGCAGAATTTCACTGTCACTCATCGGAGCATAAAGATTTCTATGGCTGCTTCTAGTTCTACCTGATGAAGTTGGACGGTAGAGCTGTGTATGGAGAGGCAGCTCAGAGTCCGACAATATAATATTCGCTGTCTTCTTGTGTGAGTTCTCTTGTCTACCTACAACACTATTAACAATCTGGTTCGATGACATCTCAATGGGCATAACAACAGCGCATATTACCCTCCAAAATGTAACAAAGTCTTTCTTATGTAACCCAGGGAAGAATGAGGTGGAGAAATCAAGCAGCATTAATAGAACACAAGAATCATCAAACTTTCAAAGTAGAGATTGAGTAATATCAGAGGAAACACATATTCCAAGGAATTGAATACTCAACTTAGTCCAGCTGCAGTGCCATTTACAAGACCAGAATCACGGGAAGTCTTTTCATGAACTAATGATATAGGCAAAGTGCAGTCACAGGAACTCAAATATTTAACGCCAATGCCGCGTTTTCCAGAGCTACACCGATTTTGTCTGAGTGGTGTGAAACAATTGAGACAGACTCAATTTTCATCAAATAAATCATGAAACCAGGTGTCTTGAAGAGTTAAAGTCCTCGTCTTGTGATATACATTCGAAGACATATGAAACTGCAGACAGTTAGTTTCATTGAACAAGGAACGGCAGATTGTATTCATAATCTCAGGAATCATCATTTAGTGCAGTAGACTATGTTTCAATGCACGTTGCTACCAAGAACTATGCGTTTCCCTGAGTTAATTCAAAATTTGCATATCCGCAAGTTTTCTAAAAATTCAAATGTTCACGAGAGTGAACTATAAGACTGGAGGTCACATTTTCATAGGTTAATGGATTGAAACCAAGTAGACACGTAAAATCAGATGCAGTATATGATGGAGGATTGTTTGGTAGCACGGTGTCTAAGCAGGTCACTGTCCCAGTACGACCCGATTAACTCATTCACCAACACAGGAGCTTCACTTCAAGCTATCTACATTCATGAGTAGGAGGTTGAATCGCATCTCAATGACTGGATTGTCAACGATCTCACCTCGTGACCTGAGGCTGTTGGTTTCGATCACTAATGTGTGCGTTCATTGACGTGTACTGTTGAAAAATGACAAACTACGACAAAACAGCTGTTCAGTTCTCCTAGATGCATTCCAATGGTTTTAGAAAACTATCAGTCATTTGTTAATCAAACTGGGGAAGCAGTTTGACTGTGAAAGAATCTCAGTTTCCAAACGATTCCTTCCCAAGGATTTCTCATGTCAATGTCTCCACAAGTTAGTATAAAATGTCAAGGTTGCCTAGTCTCCGTCATGTTATAGGAGGTTATTCTGAAAATAAATCATACTCAAATGTTCTTCATACAGCTCAGATAGTCCGTTCACGTTCTTCCAACTAGAGTCGTTTTTCAGTTCTGTAATCAAATGAAAATATCGTTGATGAGTCATTTGGATAAAAGATAAAGATGAGGTATAGTTGGACAGATAAGTGTATGTAATTGATTGAGCCTCACAATAGGCATTTTGAAAATCAACTCATAGTTTACACAAGTTCCAGGTGATTATTCGCGCATATTTCCATTCTAGAAATGGAGATTATTCATTGTGGTATGTTTGACACCACTCATTTCAGTGAAATAATAAGCACGTATTGTCATGCATTCAGGCCGACTTCACTGATCACGATTTATGATATCAAGCACATCACACACTCACATTGAGTGGATTGGTGAATAATTTCCGTTTCGCAAGAAAACTGAGCGGTGAAATTTCACCTCCTCGAACTGTGTTGAATGCAAATTTGATTTGATTTATTACCAGCTCGCCGAAGTAACCAGCCAAAGATCGGGTGGGTTTGAGCTGAGTTAAACTGGTCACATCGCTGATGACCTCGCCGCCAGAAGAGGATTATTGGTCATTCGATAGTGTTGAGATCACTTTGATCTAGGTAGCTAACAAGCCCTACTCTTTGTTGATGCAAGTGTTCTACAGCTACTCACTAGAGTCCATTGGTATTTGGTAGGTTTTATGATCTCATGATAAACGTGATTAGCGTTATTGAATTGTGCATTATGCCTTTCATTCATTGACATTCATCACTAGTACTCACTGTTCAGATACTCCAGGCCAGTTTTCGCAAATATCTGAATCTTGGTGTGGTGTATAACTAAAAGACAGAAACAACATTTTCAACAGCAATATGAGAATAATCTCAGCAGATGTGTAAAATTGACAGGCTGTGGTGTGAACATGTAATTCCATAGAAATCTATATCACACACATGATGAGACATTATCATAAACTGGATAACTTAGTTCTGGAGACAATCTCTGATTGTTCAGAATCCTGATAACGAATCTCAAATAACTCGAAATATGCATCTTGCACTCCACTGCTCGTCACCAGCCAACACATTTCTTCAAGCTGAATCCTAATGCATCTTCGAAGCATCCGGAGAAGGAGAGCTGACATGTAAACAGAAGTGGAACATCTCGCTGGAATCAATCAACAGGGCAATGAGAAACAGGAAACAACGCATCAGTTATCAATCCCACCGTCTCCGTTCATCCTGTTGTACAAGCTAGAATACATGGACTGGTGATTGATGCAGGTTCTAGTGCATAAACGGTAATTGACCCGGCTTTCTAATCAGGATTTGACGAGTTCCCATCCCAGGGGTTTACCTACTGCAATTCAGATGTTCTCATTTAGCTGCTGTTATAACACTGAATGATATTGAAAACCGTGACTTTGACAACGAATCACTTTTGTTGTTATCTGACCTCTTTTGTGAGAAAATAATTGCATATAATTGTGACGTTGGTACAGCTGAATAGGAAAGTGAAATCGCCGAACCAGAGCCTCTTCGCTGAACTAAGTGTTCTCCACTCACATGCGGATGTAGATCATTCATGAAATGAATAAACAGTCCTACCAACAAATAAACCCTGTCTTCTGTCAATACAGTGGTAATAATGCTTCGATATTTTACTGTTAACTTGCAACATAATCACCGTGAATTATAGTAGAAATGTTCAGGACTAGGTTTTTAGTGACTTGACTCAAGCTTGTTCACAGATCGACGTCAGTTAGAGAAAGATTGAAAACCAGCCACGAGTACTGAACAGCTCTTTCATCGTAGATTCGGACTCATTGTCAGTACGCATCCACTGAACTTCAAACTTCAGCGCAATTTAGGTGCAGGATGAGCCACAAAATACCGAACTAGGGTGAAACTACTGCCTGGTACTTACAGGTCCCTGTCACTGGTTCACTACCTGACATCAATCTGTGATCAAACTTAGAACAATTACTCGAGTGCCAAACTCAGAACATTTCTCAATGTAAGAAATCCTGCATTCTGCTCTCCAAACTCTCACGTCATTACACAAATATTAGTAGGTTGTCATTGAATAAAAGATCACTGTTATTATGACCATCATTATTGTTACTGAAATTAGCTTGAATATCTCACCATCGTTAAAATCCTTCACATTCCAATTGATTTCTGGTGTTCTGACTGCCAATAATGCTACGCCTGTAAAACAGAATATTACAGTCAAATATTTCACAAACAATCCCTGTGGCAGAAGACCTGTTCACAAAATCCCTCCTGATCCGTCTAACTACAGTATTCACACTTATTTGGACGATTCAACAAACGTTGTAATGATTATCCGTGCTCCTCTTAAACTGCATTATCATATGTTGATTTGATCAGTATAACTTGTATTGCTCCCCGTGGAATCTATATGCTTAGTGCTTCTCAGTGTTTTCAGTGTGTGATAAGATTGATAACGTGTTGCTTCACGACGAGAATTTGTTTGAGTGAGTAAAGGCGACTGTGGGCTTGCACTGTCTACGAGGATTGTTTCGTGCGCGACAGAGCTATCATTCCACAGTGTTGAGAATGTCCCACTTGATTCTAAGCAGTTGTCTTGTAATGAAGAAGGTACTTTGAGGAGATATGAAGTTTTTCACGTTCGGTTTTTGAATAAAATCACACATAAATCTACCGAGGAATAATCATATTTTGCTCTCTTCGGAGTGTTTTGTGACTGGACGTCTCTCTACAGATTTTCGTAAAGCTTAACAGTAGGACGCAAAGATCGATTCACTGCGTTCAAACTGCAATTCATTCGGTATCAATCCTTAATGATTACATGAAGTTACCGAAATGCATAATGAATGTGCGTTGATTAGGTTTGGAGATTATGTGCATACGATATAGAAGGCGATTCAGCATGGAATTTGAACGCCCTTGTGCATTACAGTCACTTCAAGTTTGATCAAGCAGTGAATGATGTCAGTCGTGGAGGCATTACAAAGCACAGACGGTTGTTTCAATCTTGTTTTGAGACTGTTTATTAGTAAACACCCATGACTACACCCACCAAGAATCTAGTGGTTGAGTTATACATGACAAATAGGCAGAAGTCAGAGTTTATTGGTCAGTCATTGAATTCCGCACCAATAGGTGAACTATCATTCGGTTCTACAATTAACATGTAGGCCTTCAGTTATGTCTTTGCACGGGTAATGGGGTGTGAACGGATCAGTATTGTCGAAGGAGGATGAAATAGGTGTCAAGCAACCCATGGACTGTTCAATTCTGCTCCAACTGATATCAATCGGAGATCAAAGTGAAAATCAGTCAAACGACTACTAACCAACACTTGAATATACTAGAATTACCTCACTCACATTCAGCAGTCTTGTAATAGCCATACAGTTTAGCGTAATGCTTGATTCGCGTGGCCAATTCATCTAGAAGATAGAAAAGAAGTTGAAGGTAGTATTTCCAGTTGACATATATAAATACTGTCAAGAACATGGTTTTCCTGTTTGCTGCAAGGAGGAATTGGAACTATTTTGGAAGTCCAAGGACCATTTGAAAGTGACTGTGGAGAAAGGAGTTTGGTGAACATGTGCTAGGAAGGTCGCATATTCAACTCAGAACACATATGCATTCGCTCGTCAGATCTCCTCTCATCCCACTGTTTCATTAAGTAGCCTTGTGTGAGGCTGGTCTACGTCATCTTTATGCAACATATTCTGATATAGAAATCAGTTGGAGCTTAATGGTGGAGAACACCAGATATTGTCGCCTAAGTGATATCAGCGAATGTGAGAGAATGACTTCTATTCCTTGATGTCTACGCCACTTGAAACATATCTAATTGAATAGAGAACACTTCAAGTGAATGTCTAAAAAGGTGGAAGTGTTAATTCCTCAAATCTGGATTAAGTTTACTCAGTGGACATTGGACAACCTGCTTAACATTGACCCAATCACCAAACCATCAGAGATATCTAGTCTCCTTCGACCTAGACGAACATTATTGCAGATGGGGAAGGTCGGTTATCAGGTCTCCCATCTCCTCTCGTTTCATTAGCATTCTGTACGTGTGCACATGTGATTGCATAGTTATACACGAGAATGATAATTCGTCAACTTCGATTCCTGCGAAAAGTTCATTATTCAGCAGTCTGCACAGGAGCAACTAAGTGTAGTCGAAAAGAAATTCAATTCGTCTACACAACACTGTAAGCACGACTTACTGTTTTGTACCGGAGATAATTTATTGCACAGCACGTTGGACACTGTAACAAAATTGAAAGAAACAAAACAAACGAGGGTGAAATTTCTGATTTACAGGTGCCTAATTAAAATACTGATGAATGAAAAAAGCAGTCTCTTTACCATAACTTCCTTTTCTCCACGTTCTACAGGTGTATATTCACCGATAATAATAGTTGAAGAATTATTGTCATTAACAACATTACTACTGATAAAATAAAATCGTATGAATAACACCGATTGATTAGAGTTGAACAGCAGATGTCAGTGATAAAATACATCAGTATAACACTGAAGTGAATATCAGATAAATTAGCAACGGTAACATTACAGAATCACTGAATTTACAGGTCACACAGTAAACAAGTCAGGGCAGCAGTGGCTGGGGCTGTTTCTTTAGCACATTTAACCCCAGTTCGTTTAGGCGAATTTTAGTAGCTCCCTTTGTTCGAAGCCTTTTCTGTCCTTAGAGTCTTTTGACGATTTAGTTGTCACACGACAGACGATAGAAAAAGGAATCTTCAGTGTTAGAGTTGTGGCCTGTTTGAATGAGGTAGTCTCATATTGAAGCACGAACAATTACGTTTCTAGAACAACGACCAATATAACTGGCTCAATAGAAGAACCTCAATTGATACACAAATAGATAGTTTAAGAGATAGATGAGGTGGTGGCAGGCAGATGTATTTCGTCTTTCAGTCATGGAATCACAATTGGTAGTGTTAAAAATACGAGGTTCATTATATCATCAATCTCTCACAGATGTACTTCCAATTGTAATCTGTCGACATCAATGATTCAGTGTTATTAAAAACAGTCATCTTTATTTATCAATATTTTAAATTTTTTGATTACAGCTTGATGCCACATCGTATTTTCAGTACAAGTATGGCATTTTCAGCATGAATATCGGTAATTCAAATTTTTCAGGCCGCCCATAGATATCGGGTGTGCGTCGGGAAGGTGATCGAACCACGAACCATGTGCATGGTTGGCGAGAATCCTAACCATTGTGCCGTCGTCCAACCATGTCAAAACAAAACACAGAAGGTTGCACAACGACCTGGTTGTGTCTCACATGAATTCGATGTAAAAAATCGCAGTATTTTCAACTTAACAAACACAGAACTTTAGAATCATATAAAAATTTAGTGCAATACATACAATACAAAGTTACGTGATACTACTGATAATCACTCACATTGAAACAACGTCCAAGCCAACGGAAGTATCAGGCAGTGCTTCTTAATCATGTTGTTGGTGTGAAGAGATGTTGAGTAGAACAACAAACAAAGTATCACCGCACTATTTATACCCTACAGGTGGCCAGTGAATGTGAGAAAAAGAGAGAGTGTGTGGAGGGGAGGAATTGGATGCACTTCTCACCATCTAATATTAGTGTATTTTGTGTTACTGCGTGAACGCTTCATGTGGAATTCACAACAGAAATTTGAGGACGCAGAAACAATTGCTTGTAATTACCTGGATACCTGTGTGACTACACCGAAACAATTCACACACATTAGATTTCTGAAAATTCAATTTGCGATTAAAGCAGAATAATTCACATGAGTAGTTATGTATTAAAATGCACGGTACCCACAGAAAGTACATAAACAAGCAAGTTAGTTAGCGGATACGTTGGTGAGTTATACGTGTTAATTTATTTAGTTACAAAGTTAGACTGTTCAGGATAAGTTAGTGAAATAGTGAATTAGTTATTTGGTAAGATTTTTATTTTGTTAATTGGTCAGATATCTCTGAAGTAGAGACAGTAGTGAATTATGGCCACTTACCACCGACGATGATGATTCTGATAGTGTTAGAAAGGATCACTCAACAGGCTGCAGAATGCAAGAAGACAGGAATATGTTGGACCGATGAGAAGACTCTACAGTATCTGGATATTGTAGAAGATTAGCGTTGAATGCCACAAAGATTCGAGGACTAGCAGATTGTGACCAACGATTTGTTCGAATTGGTACCAAGAGAAGACAGGAATTCGAATAAACATGAGGAAGACGGATTTCATAAACACAAGCTACAAACCAACCAACCTACCTACCTACCAAACAATCAGCCAAAAACAGCAACATCCAACACCAATCACTATCAGTGAGAGGAATTTGAAGGAGATCACTGTCTTCACTCAGTCAGCCAGACAATGCGGTTTCAACTACGAGCAGCCTCATATATAACGACTTTAGATTCAGTCAGGATCGGAAAGGCAATGAAGAACTTCATGATTCATAAATATGTTTGCAAGCCAACTTCACTCAGTATGATGAATACAATTTCGATTTTCAACGGCAAAATGGACTCAGTTCTTCTATATGGTTGAGTAACATGAAATGCGCTTCACTGGAAGCATTTCCAACAGACTGCTGCAGACATTGATCGAAAGCGACACTTTCGCTCCATGTTGAAGGTGAGCTGGTCAGAAAGAATTCTTACGGTTAGTTATTTATTCAGTTCGTTTGTGCTTCGAGTGGGAGATACGGAGTCAATTGTAATCTTCGAAGTTTCAATAACTGTTGTGTCTTCTGCATATAGTGGATCCCTGGCCCTACAGTTATGCTTTCCGGTTTCTGCTTGTTAATAATTATCAGGTGAGTGAGGCAGTGTTGTGCATCGGCCTGATGTTGAAACCGGGAACACATGCATGTTTGGCGTCAATCCCAGTATTTAACGACCGATGAGTCCAGGAGAAATACGCAGCGAGCAACTCGTCAGGCCATCGCTCGCTTGTCAACCGGAATGTTGACATGTTTGAATAGAAATTAGGAACATAAGAGATCTCATCGCTTACTTAAGAGTTCTCAATCACATGACGTAGTATTAGGAGGAGTATTGAATTACTCAAGGCACATGTGGAGAAGAATAATAAGCCAAGTATTTGTCGGGACTGTCGATTCACAATTCTTAGTTTTGATCAAATACTCTCTCATGAAATAAATTTCATGAAACACATTGTAAATATACCCGTTTTCACTGTGTGTTTTTGAACTATGAGATACATTCATGATGTTTTTTTGACAGATGTGTACTATAAAACTGTGAATATGCAGGAGAATCCCGAAATCATGAATGCCAGTGAATAAACAGAAATAAGCGAAGCGTATGTGTATTTGTTTGTTCACGTTGAAGGACTTGAGATAGGTAAGACTTTCGACGATAAGGTGACTTTATTCAGAAACACGTTTGAAACAAACTGGGAATACTGAACAGCAGTTATTTCCTATTTCCGATTGCACCCATCGAGATTCACAGCCAGACACTTTGGCGTACAAACCGATCGCGTAGATCCCGCAGCCAATGAGATCCATTTCAAACTGTTAACTCTGACATACAAAGAATTTATTTGGGTCATCTACGATTTTGTTGAATTTGGGAGAAACGTCTGAAAACGTACGTTTGATTCTACACAAATTTGGATTTTGGTTTCTCCACTCAAATCTACAAAATCACTCAGAGACAAGCTCTGCAAGCTAAAATAACCTGGTGCACTGATCGCATTCAGTCAGGACATCAAATCGCATGGAATGCGTTCAATGTAGACTGACTGACCTGAGTAGTTGGGACAGTCTTAAGAGAGAAGTTCATCAATCGCAATGCATACACCGGAAGATAGTCACGAAATACGCTGACACATTTCGCTAATTTCATTGCAAACGTGTAGTGAAATCCCACAGTGTGAATAACAATTGTACAAGTGTTCATCTGATATACAAACACACACACACACAATATTTACACCTCATGCCTACAAACACTCAATTTTTCACATTCACTCAATCACACAAACAATTAATTTCAAATTTCACCTAACATTTCTGAAATGATACTCTCATTAGAATTGACGTCTGCTCTTCATTAGGTGAACTACTTGCCGAAGAAGACTTGGAAGAAACTATGGAAATGGAATTTATCAAATCAAGAGATAAACAAATGTTCGAACAAATATCACATTTCGAACACGATTTCCACTTTGTTATTTTGAATCATGCAGAAGCAATGATTTGTGTTAGTCCATCGTGAGTGGTTGAGAGGACTCTCGAGAGGCTGAGGATGTTGTCCAGTGAGAAGATGAAATCTCCTCAACTAAACCATCAAGCTCAGTGAACACAATTACACGAGAAACACTCATCCGACGTGGATCTATTATCCTACCACAGTGACTAAATTCTACTCCCACATTAAGTACAACAAATGAGTGAGTAACTTCTCAGACATGATGAATAATCAGCCTGTCTTGCAACTGTATGCAATCGTTCGGAATGAGCAATAATTTGTGGACACGGACAACACCAATTTCATGTTGACTGTTTGACCGAATTATCTTGCAGTTTGATTCATTTCATTTAATCTCTCCTTGTCCAGAGAAAGGTGAGCAGAAGTGTCAGAAATGCAACTTGATCAAAATGGTATGTTCAAGTTTGTTTTGTTGTTGATGTCTAATTGCCAAATAGCTGCGTCAACTGAACGGAAACACTAGCAACGTCATCAGATATCACCGACAGTTGCAATGAGATCAATTTACTGTTTATGGTGTAATATGGCATCTGTGATTCCCCATTGTCACCATGAAATGTTCTTGTGACTGATATGTAAGGATTAATAAGGGTGTCTGCAGTGAATCTGGATTCGTCCTAGTTAGCATATTAGTACGTATACCACTAAACCTCTACGCATCTCAAAGTACTTTGATTCATCCTTTCACCAATGCAACTATCCATACACGCAATTCATACGTCATGTATATTTTACCATGTAATTATTGTGATTATTCCTTTAGGTTCTGAGTGGTACATGGGACTTGAAAATCATCCCCTGACTCACACGGTTTTCTGCCACCATCTTGATCTGACCCCATCTCCTCTCCTGTGAAATGTGATAATGTGAAATGTGATCACCCTGGATAGTCTCCTCACTATGTGTCTAATCCATCTGAACAACTGTCCCCTCCTGGTTCTGTAATTAGTGGTAACACACACACCCATTGGGTTGAGTCTCACTGGCTAAATGGTTCACAAGCTACTATTGTAACCGGAATGTCCTTTGTTCAAACTCCGGTGGGTGCACGTGCAGCCGATGAGCATCAAATTACGTAAAAAAAGCTATACAGTACTTCCTGGTGGCTTTCAATCGTTCTTCAACCGATGTTGATACTTGATCATACCAGAATCAAATCTAATTCCGAAGGACCAACTACCATTTCGTGATGGACATCACTGTGTCAAGTACAACTTAACAGTGACTATTTCCCGTGATGTCCTACATGCTGAATCTTACTGGCTACCACTACTAAGAAGGCACTCAGACGACTACATCACGCAGTCAGTCCCTAATGGTATGAGAATCAAATTTTTCTTTGCAAAATGATTCAAACTAACAATCAATAGCTTTATGTTTTGGTCGGACCACTTCAAGCTCTTCATCAGATTGGTTTCATTTTGGCTAATCACATCATATCGATGATCGAAGTGAAGAGAATCTGTATAGCTTATACACTTTTGATCCATAAATTCCGTTGTTGAAGGTGAGTTGTGAGTCTAAGCAACATTTTAGATATGCAATTGATCCGATATATTCACGTGCGTTGTGGTAGTTTAATGGCAGAATATTTGTCAAACAGTGAGGCGGTTTGGATTGGATTCACAACAGACAGATGAGCTCCTAAACCTTGCCTTGCTGGCAGTGATCCGAGAAAGAGGGTAGGCTGAGTAGGACGGACCTGGATTCGAACCCAGTGAGTATCTGTAATTGGGAGGAGTCTCAAAGTAGGATCAATCAGCTGTTGAATACTGACTGGTTTAATTGTGTCAGTGGTTCGTTGGTACAATACACATTGACGGAGCACGTGGCTCCAACGTGTTTGCAGCTAAGCAAACTCCTATTTCACAAAATACAAGCGACACGACTCACCATCCGTTTTCAGTGCATCAATGCAGGAATACACTTCAGTGGTAATCAGGTCACCAAGTTCTCTCATCTACTTATTTGTAAGCGATTTACTGCACTTAAGTGAATGAGTACTGCAGTGAAGTATCCTGTGTTAATCACAAAATAAATTCAACATGAACTGTATGAGAACAGTTTCAATACACTCTCATGTTCACAGGCAATTAGAAGCACGTTTCACTGTATCCTCAGATTTCTGTTGGGAATCTCACATGCGATTTTCACACAGTAACATGAAATGCACTGATATTGGATGTTATGAAGTGAATTTAGTCTCTCTATTTCTCACCTC